AGGCCAGGAGCCCCTAGTAGCTTCTTGCTCCTAGTAGTAAGGCCAGGGGCCCCTTCTTGCTCCTAGTAGTAAGGCCAGGAGCCCTTAGTAATTAGCGTCCTTGCTTGTGGTATAAGGCCAGGAGCCCCTAGTAGCTTCTTGCTGCGAGTAGTAAGGCCAGGAGCCCCTAGTCCCCCCTCCTCTTTGGCTTGCTCCACAATTCGCGGAGGGCTTCGCCCGCCGCCATGGACAGCCGGACGTTGGATGTGGGCAACCACACCTTCCCTAAACTTACAATATGCTGCTTGGCCAAAACTCTGTTTAAAGCCTCCAAAATTTGGCTCCGGTCCAAATGTTGTAGCCGGAGCCTGGGCCGCAGCACGTTCGAGCTCCTCGGGCTGGCGCGCTTCAAACCGGCCTGCCCGAGAAGTGTGTCGATTAATTCCAAAACTTGCGAACCTTCGAACTTCTTTGGAGCATCGTTTGCCATGTGGGCGCACTCACTGAGCTTGATGCTCCAAAGCATTGCCCCGCTTTGCATCGGGTCAACTGAGTTAAAAACAGCCTGTTGCGCCTTTTCGGCCGCAGCGCAGGCAAGACCTCTTACCGGGCGAGTTTCCACAGAAAGGACGTGGCCACGGTAATCTGAAATTGAGGTCCCCCGGAAAGCCGGGCTTTTGTTCAGAAAAGACCGAACCTGTTTCAGGCCGTCGGAAAAAAGGGAAGAACTGACGCTCTCGGGCGTCGCCTTGCAAAATTTGACCAAGTCGGGGTCATCGGAAAAAAGGAAACGATCACCATCGTGGTCGGCGTTCCGGATACCCGTCGCGCCTTCCCCCAACCGCGTGGCGATCAAAACGTTGTTGGGAATGTAAATGGCAGCTGGTGGGAGCTCTTTGGCAACCCACAGCTGCATATCCCAAGGGTGCAACATGGGTGGACTCCACACCACGAATTCGCCTAACCAGACCTGGCCGTCCACAATGATGTGGCACTCCCGGTCCTGTCAGCAGAGTTGACGACGAAAGTTTGACCGACTCGAAAGCGGCAAGTTTAAACGGTGTAAGATCTATTTTTTGCCAAGTTCACCGCCCTGCCTTCAAATTATCCGGCCAGAAGTCCGTGACCACCATTCCACCACCAGCGTTGCCCCGGAGTGGCAACGCCGGCTTCTTGTTATGAGCCCGCAGCTGCGCATTGTAGCGCCGGAGACCGCGTGCGAGGCTGTCTTTGGTGCCTGTTAAAGTCAAAGTGCGCCGACACATTTGCGGCAAAATGAGAAATCTTGTGGGGCTGAAACGGGCGCCGGCCTCTCAGGATGCTGAATGGCTTGGTCTCCGTCTCAATTTTGAGGAGGTCAGAAAGGTCGGTGGGCTCGGACAAGGTTTCCTGAAATTAGAAGGGTTGTCGAGTAGTAAGGCCCGGAACCCCTAGTAGCTTCTTGCTCCTAGTAGTAAGGCCAGGAGCCCCTAGTAGCTTCTTGCTTCTTGTAGCAAGGCCAGGAGCCCAGTAGCTTCTTGCTCCTAGTAGTAAGGCCGGGAACCGCTAGTAGCTTCTTGCTCCTAGTAGTAAGGCCAGGAGCCCCTAGTAGCTTCTTGCAGTAGCAAGGCCGGGAGCCCCTAGTAGCTTCTTGCTCCTAGTCCTAGTATTAAGGCCAGGAGCCCCTAGTAGCTTCTTGCTCCTAGTATAGTAAGGCCGGGAGCCCCTAGTAGCTTCTTGCTCCTAGTAGTAAGGCCAGGGAGCTCCTAGTAGCTTCTTGCTTCTGGTAGTAAGGCCAGGAGCGCCTAGTAGAATCTTGCTCCTAGTAGTAAGGCCAGGAAGTAGCTTCTTGCTCCTAGTAGTAAGGCCAGGAGCCCCTAGTAGCTTCTTGCTCCTAGTAGTAAGGAGCGCCTAGTAGCTTCTTGCTCCTAGTAGTAAGGCCAGGAGCCCTTAGTAGCGTCCTTGCTTGTGGTAGTAAGGCCAGGAGCCCCTAGTAGCTTCTTGCTGCTAGTAGTAAGGCCAGGAGCCCCTAGTAGCTTCTTGGTCCTAGTAGTAAGGCCAGGAGCCCCTAGTAGCTTCTTGATCCTAGTAGCAAGGCCGGGAGCCCCTAGTAGAATCTTGCTCCTAGATGCTCCTAGTAGTAAGGCCAGGAGCTCCTAGTAGCTTCTTGCTCCTAGTAGTAAGGCCAGGAGCCCTAGTAGCTTCCTGCTTCTGGTAGTAAGGCCAGGAGCCCCTCGTAGCATCTTGCTCCTAGTAGTAAGGCCAGGAGCCCCGAGCAGTTTCTTGCTCCTAGTAGTAAGGCCAGGAGCCCCTAGTAGCTTCTTGCTCCTAGTTGCAAGGCCAGGAGCCCTTAGTAGCGTCCTTGCTTCTGGTAGTAAGGCCAGGAGCCCCTAGTAGCGTCTTACCATGCAAGTGTTTGGGATCTCCAACAACTATATAATCGCATGACACACTTTTTGTTGTGCCTCTGCTGGAATCACTAGACGTTCCCTTCTGCATTGAAATGGAATGTCTTCAGCCATGAAAGCCAAGACTGCCCCAGGTGCCCGGGCCACAGCGGTGGGTCGCACCTCGTCGAAGACGAACGCATGTATGATAAGTCATGATTATGATGGAAGTGGGTATTCCCTGCACTGTAACTATAACATACACTAACATACTATAACCATCTATAACCTGTATACATAACTGTGACTATAACCCTTGTATAGGAGGGAGCTGGCGCCAGAGGCACCATGCTCGTCTCAAGTTGATCTTTTTCGACCACTCCACCATGCCCGTCTTGTTGGTGTAGAGACTTTACCAACGTTACTGTTAAGCTCCCTGTAGTTCTGCCCACGTCCTTTGCCTCTCGATGCGACTTGTTCCCTGCTGCAGAGCTGTGCTGCGACTTGTTCAGCCGTGTGCCGAATCTATCCGAATCTGGCCGCAAAGCTTGAATCAGCGGTATTCCGACCTGCAAGCTCTGTCACACCTTGGCAAGGACTGCCTGAATTGGAAGATCCGTTCACGACCTGTTGGTGACTGTGATGCCACCTCTTGCACATGCTGATGCAGGCATTTGGGGGCGGCCTGCAATGCTTCCTTGTTGAGGCCTATGCTGCAATCAGTCGTAGAAATTATGCTGTTTCCCCGCGCGCCAAGTGTGTACTCTGAATGTAGCAGTCGGCTAGTTGTTTGTAGGTTTCCACAAACGTAAAGGTCAAATTAATTTTAGTAACTAGTGGTTAGTAGTTCAACAGAAAGATCAGCAGTGACTGCTCAAATACACCTACAGTGGACTTCACCATCCTCTGCCTGCCTCATGCTTGTCACTGCCCCTCGTTTACCTTTGAACAGCACAATATAATGTTATATTATTAGTTAGTTATATTATGACAAAGGCAAGGACACACCACAAATCATTCTCTTCATCTGCAAAGCTGAAAGTGTGCACAAACCTCTTGGAGGAAACAAGATTCCATCCATGATTCTGGGAAAACAAGGACTTCTAGTCTAGAGTCTTAAAATCACTACTCCCCAAAGCAAGTGCTTGTTTGGAAGTCCAAGCGTCGGCAGATTCGGCAGGACATCCAATTGACCCTTTTTTAAAGTTCGAACCCAAAACCAGAAATATCCAGAAACCAACGTGTCACTCGCTGCCGCTGCCTGCTGTGATTGGCTGTCACTTTGCGTTGCCACTGCCTCTGAGGTCTGAGAAACCATGATGCTCAACATGCTTCACAGGGCCCACCTTCTTCATTCTAAATTCTAAGCTCTAAGATCGTTCTACTTAGGCAGCTCCTCAGCTCGCCCTTGTTACTTGATTTCGCTCCCTGAAGCGACATGCCCCAAGAATCCTTGGCTATATGTAGGTCCGGCCTCATCCAGGTTTTCTGCCCCCCAGTCAGAAAACATAAGGACAAAGGACCAAGGGCCTCCACTGAACTTACCTGGCTCTACACACATATGAGACGAGACAATGGAACGTCAACCCTCCTTTTCTCGCCTGAGCAGCTTGTGCAATGCTGGCAGCCTCAATGGCTCAACCGAAGCTGATGGGCACAAAAAGGACGGTCTGAGCCCAACCATGCCGAGATACGTGCTACATCTCCGGCCAGAAAATGTCCGAACTTGGGTTTTGAGTCCATCGTTTGCTGAGACTGCAATATCGCTTTGTACAGCTAGGTAAACTTAAAACACAAAAAACACAAGCAACTCGTATATAATCCAAATCACGAAATAACATCCCTACCCTTTCCAAAGGGGGGACGTCAAAGCAGTAAGTTACATTTTCCTATGTTTGGACTTTAAAAATATAATAACAATAAAATTACATGTTTTTGCAGCTAGTCTGAAAAAATGTAACTTACACATTTTTCCCGAGAGCGCCTGCGAAGGGTTCTTCGTAAAGAAACATCTGCAGAACTACACCTCCTCTACATCTTCACATCTTCACCTCTGCACAATCTTCACATCTGCACATCTACATCTCTGCTCATATCACGTTCACATCTGCACATCTACATCTCTGCTCATCTTCACATCCTCACATCTACATCTCACATCTTCACCTCTCGCTCTTCTTAACTTTCTCTCTTAAGCCCGGGGGCAGTGCCGCCGGACCGCCACGAAACGCAACCCTCGTGTCGAGTGCGCAAAATGCAGGCGAGAGTGCGATTTGTCCCGGTCGCGGGCAACCCTCTGCAGAGATCGTGCGCGTCGAGTGCGCGAAATGCAGGCGAGAGTGCGATTTGTCCCGGTCGGGACAACCCTCTGCGGGGATCGCGCGTGTCGAGGAAATGCAGGCGAGAGTGCGTTTTGGCCCGGTCCGGCGCAACCCTCTGCGGAGATCGCGCACGTCGAGTGCGCGAAACGCAGGCGAGAGTGCGATTTGGCTTTGTCGCGGGCAACCCTCTGCGGGGATCGTGCGTGTCGAGTGCGCGAAACGCAGGCGGGAGTGCGATTTGGCCCGGTCCGGGACAACCCTCTGCGGGGATCGTGCGTGTCGAGTGCGCGAAACGCACGCCAGAGTGCGTTTTGGCCCGGTCCGGCGCAACCCTCTGCGGAGATCGCGCGTGTCGACTTTGTAGTGCAACTTTAGAACGGGGAGCAATCTGTGGAGCTGGAAGCTGAGAACTGGCGACTTTGTAGTACAACTTGAGTATGCGGAGTATCTGGGGAGCTGGAAGATGAGAACTGGCGACTTTTTAGTACAACTTTAGTACGCGGAGCAATCTGTGGAGCTGGAAGCTGAGAACTGGCGATATTGTAGTACAACTTTAGTACGCGGAGAATCTGGGGATCTGGAAGATGAGAACTGGCGAAGTTGTAGCACAACTTTAGTACGCGGAGTATCTGGAGAGCTGGAAGATGAGAACTGGCGACTTTGTAGTACAACTTTAGTACGCGGAGCAATCTGTGGAGCTGGAAGCTGAGAACTGGCAACTCTGTAGTACAACTTTAGTATGCGGAGTATCTGGGGAGCTGGAAGATGAGAACTGGCGACTTTCTAGTACAACTTTAGTACGCGGAGTATCTGGGGAGCTGGAAGATGAGAACTGGCGACTTTGTAGTACAACTTTAGTAACGTGGAGCAAGCTGTGGAGCTGGAAGCTGAGAACTGGCGACTTTGTAGTACAACTTTAGTACGCGGATGAGTCATCTCTCGCGGCTGCTCTGGCGCCCCTGCAGCAGTCATGTCTACCGACCACCCGGCTCTCTTGACAGGTTGACAAATTTTTGCTACTTTGCTTACTCATAAGTGGCTGCCACAAAAGAGTCATCGTGACGTTAGTATGTGTGTACTTCACCTTCATGACAAACGATGTTCGCTTGGAATACACGAGTCGCTTGTCATGATCGCGACGTCGTTTACTCTCAGGTCGCCCTGTTCGTGGAAACTTCAGTGTGAAATGTACGTTCTTCAGTTCTATTTGAACCTCTTCAGCGTTGTACTTGCACAACTACGGTTGACGTTGCGCTGCCGTTGCATCGACGCATCTACGTCTACATTTACATCTTCGCACGCCCACATCCGCAGATCTACCCCTCCACCTCACCACACCCACACATCTGCGCATCTATATATCACATCTGTACATCCACACTGTCGCTCCTTCACATCTGTCCTGTCTTTCTTTCTACATGTCTTTTCTCTCGTCTCTGTGCATTTACATCTTCGCACGCTCACATCGACAGATCTACCTCTCCACCTCCATACATCTACAGATCTATATCGCGCCTGCACATCCACACTGTCACTCCTTCACATCCACCCTCTCTTTCTCTCTTGCTATACATCGTTTCGACAGTGCTGGACAATTGCATGTCTCCCTCTCGGGCCAACCGTCGTCTAGTTTCAGGCTCCAGGTGTCATATACTGGGCAATGACGCCAACATTTTAACTTACAATTTTTGAGCCATGTGGGGCGCTTACATTTTTGTGAACGCAGTCTTTGTGTCACTGCTACTGTCTCAGTGCTCACATCTTGCCTGTTTCTTCCCCTTGCTCAGCTTGCTGGTGTACTTTGGCGAACATTTCAAGCACACATGAATCAGAATGAAACAACTAGAAAGGGAGGGAGAGAGAGAGAGAGAGATGAAAACACTATAGTTTAATTTGTAAATACTTACATTATACTATATATTGTTATATACTGTTATATTACATAATATTTAATCAGCGTATCATATCATCGATTGTTTGTCACACAACAAGGACAAACATATGATGGAAAACAAACTAAATGTTGGAGCGACTAAGTCGTTTGCGCGTGCGGATCGAAACAGAGTGTGGGTCCAAACTCCAAGCGCAGGAAAAACCATATACCAGTGGCCCTGGCAGCCGGACTTAACTTGTTCGAACGGCCGGCTCTGGGGGCCAGGCCGGCTCGCGCAAGGCCGCTGGCTCTCGCAGAGCGGCGCAACTCGCCTTAGCGAACGTACCAAAGCGGCGGAGCCAACTGCCAAGGGGGTCTTTGGATGTTTTGGAGGTACCCAAGTGGATCTCTTTTTTTACATATATGTTATATATATAATATATAAGTATGGTGCTCTGAAGATACCCCAAAAAAGGCTTGCGGATTGATCAGCAATGAACTCCTGCGCTGGCCATGAGTTTATTTTGTTAAATCCGGACCCCCATATTCCAGGTGAAAAATGACTATAATGGGTCGGTCATCTTTGGGGGCGTCCATTGGGTTTCCTATCAGTGATGTTTCGGCAGTGCCCACCACGGTGCAGCGCCGGTGTGATCTGCAGAATCTGCAGCGCCGGTGTGGCCGCTGAAGCAGCTTCTCTTCGCCTCCCGGCCACACTTCGTGTCGGTTGCATCTGTCGACTCCTGCGCTCAGAGTGGGGCTTCGGTCTGACTGTGATGCATCCAGTCTCAACTTCATAGGTCCTATGTCACGTAAAAACTTGCTCGGCCCCACTTCTCTGCACCTTGGAGAGAACATCCGAGCCATTTGACCTCAGGGTGACTGCCATCAGAAAAGGTTTGTTCCCTTCACACTTAGGAGGAAGTGAGTGAAAGAACGGAAAGGCGACTCAGTCCGCAATGAACAGAATGTTTGAACAGTGGCGGTTACGCTTGACTGCGAAGGCGCTCAGCGGCGATGCGGCTGCAAGTCAGCGGTGGGAGAAAGGTTTAGGGGTCTATCATGCAAGGACCATGAAAACAAACCAGAGGAAAATTGGTGTCACAGCTTGCAATCAAGGCAGGTACGCTGGGATGATCAGTCCCACTATCACCACAAAATCGAGAGTGTCTTCGTTGGTGGCAGACTCTCGTTCCTGCTGCCACCCCCTGCGGTTTGAACAGAACAGAAACTCTTTGGAACAGAGTGTGACACACACACACACACTCGGCCGCTTTGCGGCGCTCTCGCGGAAAACCTAAATAGGCACCTAAAAAGCCTTAGAAACAAGAGAAAGAAAACCAGAAAGAGCAGCGCTAAAAGGGCAAGAGAGAAAGATAGGAGTAGCAAAAGGTGAATACTTAGCCCTTGACCGGGGTAAGGAAACGAGCATCAAGAACTACCTAAAAAGCCTGAAGGGAAGCCCAAGCAACGACAAAAAGCGCAAGAAAGAAAGTGGGGGGGCAGGGAGGTGTATGTACATGTGTGTGTGTATGAATACCTAGCACTCTAGAATTACTGATTACTTAGCAGAAATGAATTAAGTGCAATAGTTAGGGAGCGGGACTTTAGTCTTAAACCTTGCCGGACGGTAAAGGCAGCAACAGGCTCAACCAAACAGACTTGGATATCAGTTGCGCGAGAGTTAGGTTTCTCTGTATTCTTCCCTTCCAGAGGCGTGCCGGACCCCGGAAGCCCGGAAGGACTATCTCCTAAGTTGGAAGTGTCGCGCGGTTGTGCCAGCTTGGCAGGAAGTCGAATCAAATTGGATGGAGCTTGTCCAACAAGACTGTAGCTTCAGCGCCAATGAGTTTCGGCAGTTGATTCAGTGGACAAGGACTATATGTTTCTCTTCACCGCTCAAGCGCAAGTGCAGGGCCTGGTTCCTCCAAGCTCTCTTAAGAGAATACCAGCACGGGTTCCCACTCAGCCCTGCTGATTGGGTCCTCAAGCTCCAGGCAACCGAGTAAAAATACAGAGCGGCGCTGTGGGGAGGCCTTGGTCCGATTCTTATTACACTATAGGGACCCATGCTGGCCCTGAGACCCTGCGGGGTAGTGGCACTCATGGGACCCTTCTAGTGGTCCCGCATTGCGGGCTGTGGAATGGAATGGAATGGAATGCACAACAGAGGGAAAGGCACCGACACGACACACAAGTGTGTTGAGTACCATTTCCCTCTGTTACCCTAATTAGAGGGGGGGGGTTGGGGTGTTTGGGGTAGAAAACTCGTCGGGGTTTATTCTCCGTAAACCCGGCGGTGGAAAGGTACCGTAGACTCGGCAATTTCGATTTTGGGAATACAGTGGGTGAAACGAGAATCAGTCAAGAGAATCCAAGGCATGCAGGAAAACGCTGCATCAGTTGCACGGCAGTCCGGAATGGTCTCAGCACCCCAGTGACGGGGATCACACTCTGCACCCAGTGGGACGATAGAGCAGCACACACTTGGACAATGGGTTTGCAGTTACATCAATTCCCCGGGGAAATGAATGAAAGAACGGAAAGGCGACTCAGTCCGCAATGAACAGAATGTTTGAACAGTGGCGGTTTCGCTTGACTGCGAAGGCGCTCAGCGGCGATGCGGCTGCAAGTCAGCGGTGGGAGAAAGGTTTAGGGGTCTATCATGCAAGGACCATGAAAACAAACCAGAGGAAAATTGGTGTCACAGCTTGCAATCGAGGCAGGTACGCTGGGATGATCAGTCCCAGTATCACCAGGAAATCGAGAGTGTCTTCGTTGGTGGCAGACTCTCGTTCCTGCTGCCACCCCCTGCGGTTTGAACAGAACAGAAACTCTTTGGAACAGAGTGTGACACACACACACACACACACCAGGCTCAATGTCCTCGGATGGGTCGGATATACCGTTTGATTTGAGGGTATCGCATGGAGTAGTCGGTAACGACGTGTCGATACGGTGGTGGACTCCCGCTGGCGCACCCACGTATCGCCTTTCTTTTTGCTGCAGTCGCCACGGCCCCGCTTTCTGCCAAGCCACTGCCAGCAGTTGCATGATGTGCCTGAAAAGAGCAGCAACAACAGTGATAATCTGATACAGTCTGCAGCCGCAAGCTCAACAGATTCAACACATGACATAGAACTGAGATACATCAATTCACCTCTCGGACGCCGTCTCGTCAACGTGATGATACGGATCCTTTGACCAATAAGTGATGCCCCTGTTTCAACCACATCAAACTTCAAACCAAACAATCTACAGATTCCAGCATGAGCATGCACACGTTCGATTCATCCATGGGGAGTTTAGACAGAGAGCAAACAAATTTCCAGAGGAATCCATCAAATATACCCAGAAGATCCCTATAGTATATACCCAGAAGATCTGGAGGAATCCACCGTTCGGTGAGTTCCGGTCTGCAGACCGTCTTCCTCACCGTCTGCTCACCGTCTTCTTCCGTCTGCTTGTTCAGTGTTTCTTCGGGGCCGCCTGGGTCGGGGCCGCCACGATAATGCGCCGATTGGAGGCCATCTGCTCCTGCCACTGCGCCATGTGACGGACTGGAAGCCCAGTGCGGAGGGTTGCTAGACAGCAGCGAGGTGTCCACATGATCGATAAGCACGTGGAATCCATGAATCACCCTGAAGAAGTCTGAGGAACGACGTTGCTGGCTGAGAATTCGTATCTTTCAGAATCTTTCAGATGGCAGGGATGGGGTTGCATCATGCTGCATTCCTTCTAAGAAATCGCAATCATCCTGCCATCATGATGTGGCACGCATCACTTGTTGTTGCTGCAAGCATCGAGAGAAATACCCCAGCGCCACAACTTGCACCTTGTGTCTCTGAAAGGCGCTTGAGGGTCGGGAGGCTGATCCGCGCTCACCTCAGAGGTCCAAGGTCAATCCCGCCAGGAAGATGTCTCTTTGGTACCCCTTGAAGCATTCAACCCCGGGCATGTTAATGGATGTTCATGCTTACAATATACCCAAAGAGTCCAACAAATCCATGCTTTGACTGCAATCTCATTTGCCAACATCTGGTCCCAACTGGTCCCCAATACCAAGCTCTCCGACCTGCTTCTGCCTGGCGTGCATATCTCTGCGCCTCGGAACTCCAGGACACCACGCAGTCTGTTCCAACTGGTGTATTTTCGTTCAGCAGAAACCACCAGAAACAGAATTGCGGGAAGAGAACTCCACTCTACTCCACTGAGACTGGCCAGGAAAGTCTTAACCCACCACCATGGAAGAAGACTCTTACAGCTTGAGATGCTGTGGGCACAGCAGCTTGCAAGACAGACATTTTGTGGCAAGCGTGTCTGCTTCCTCTATCTCTGATCCTCACATCTGTTTGCTTCTGCATCTTGTTGGATCCCAGCTTCGTTCCTTGCAATGAATCTGTTCATCTACAGTATATAGACTTATAATGACTTATAGTTCTTTCTCCCTTTCAGGCTCTCTCCCACCAGCGATGTCGTGCCCACAAATCTAATGGGCGGCCTGGTTCACAGCGGAGGTGCGTGATGCCACGATCCTGAAGGTCCAGAAGGATGGCATTGCAATGAATAGCATCCCAGGTCTGAAAAGACCAAAGTGGTGAGTTCGGCTTAGCATATGTTTTGGCCTATATAGTTCAAAGTCAAACCAAACTCAGACTTTCGAGCTGTGAGCATACGGTGGGTATACGCCTTATCTCAAAGGCTCAAAGACTCAAAGGCCTACAACAGGCAATTTCCTCGCATGAAAAAACACATGTGAGAAGCAAAACAAACAACGTGTTATTATTTTTTCCATTTGTCCTACTGATCATCCTTGTTCGCCAGTCTTGGAAGGTGATCTGAGTCGATTTCAACGAACTTGTGAACTTTAACCCTCACCAGTGTGGTCCATAAGTCCATAGTAGAATCCAGCTACAGTTACCAAAAGGTGATGCCAGCCAGGTCGTTCTGCATCCGCTGGGATTAGAGGGCACCTACATGGGAGAAACCAGAAGTGGGATGACCCCTAAATGACAAAAGTCAGAAACGCTAATTTGGGGGGCCATGGCAAGAGGTGAAGCCTGAAAAATCACGCAACGAATTCATAATCATGCATATAATGTCCCGTTCAGATCCCATAATGGAGGCAGGACCACAATCTTGAGGTCACTGCACACCAGACTGGCCGTCCATGGACAAACGTCGCTGGCCATACCTCACACTGCAAATTTGCCAAAAACCACTTGTTTGCTTGTGCTTTTTGCAGTGATTCCCGAGCAAAGAAGTAATCAGCACTCACACCAGCAAGCAAGCAAGCAAGCAAGCAAGCAAGCAAGCAAGCAAGCAAGCGAGGAAGCGAGGAAGCGAGGAAGCCAGCAAGCAAGCAAGCAAGCAAGCAAGCAAGCAAGCAAGCAAGCAAGGAAGGAAGGAAGGAAGCAAGGAAGCAAGGAAGCAAGGAAGCAAGGAAGCAAGGAAGAAAGGAAGCAAGGAAGCAAGGAAGGAAGCAAGGAAGAAAGGAAGGAAGCAAGGAAGCAAGGGAGCAAGGAAGCAAGGACGCAAGGAAGCAAGGAAGCAAGGAAGCAAGGAAGGAAGGAAGGAAGGAAGCAAGCAAGCAAGGAAGCAAGCAAGCAAGCAAGCAGGTGCACCCTTGCTTGCTTGCTTCCTTGCTTGCTTGCTTGCTTGTGCCACCTTGCAAAAAGTGCTGGTGTTGTTCCGTAGAAGAAGTGGATCAACAAAGGTGTAGAATCTACCAACAACCACCAACTCTTCAAAGGAGCCGTACTGCAAGATTGCACAGTGGTGCGTAGGGTGCTTGCAACCATAATCTACTGGCTGGGACACCCTGACGTTCTGGCCTGTGCCTCTGCAATTGGCTGTGCCAAAGGCTGACCTGTTTCCCATCGACACTCTGAGATGTTTATATTCCTCATTTTTGCAAAGTGTGTCTTAACCACCAGAACAACCCAGAATCATTGCTTGAAATTGTTCAGATGTCATGAACCACTGCGAACTTTGGTGCGGTCAACTCTATCAGTTAATGCATAATGAATTGAAGAAATTAACAGGTCATACTAGGTCACAACTAGTCGGTTGGAAGCCATCGCTACTAGGTTGGAGGCCATCGCTCTTAGGTTGGAGGCCATTGCTATTAGGTTGAAGAGATTAACAAGTCATACCAGGTCACAACATCCACAAGCCAAACCTCAATGCCTTCCGACTCGGATGATAATTCAACCGTACCACCCATCGCGTGACGCCTGCACTGTTGACACTTGTCGGTGACCCGACCACCTTAGAGCAACAAGAGATGGATGCTATCTGGGTGCTATTTTATGGTTTCTTTGATTTGCTGATGAAAGGCCTGGATATTTGGCCATTGCAAACTGGAAGGAACAACTTCTTATACAAGAACTTTGAGACAAATAATAATGAACTTCAATACTGTACATAGCTGAACCTTTTTGTTGTCGGGGTGAGGACATGTGTATATATTACATGATATTACATGACATGTCTTTTGTGAGATGTGAAAAATGGGCACCCCACACACTCACAGGAACATTTTTTGAACGAGACACATTGTCACATTGTTGAACAGGTTGGCGGCATTGGTCTAGTGCCCAGTCCAGTGTTGATCTTTTGACACCTTTTGAATGCTTAAAATGACATGGTCCAGTATCTATCGATTCAAAAGATCTTCTTTCTGCTCAAGCATGCCCATTCCATATCACCACCCCACTCAATCTCGACGTTCCAGGCCAGGTGCTGGCATGGCAACGACAGGTGTGCTTGCCCCGCTGCTGGGACCTCAAACAAAAAGGGAGACCGTCGAAAATGGGTGGGGACTTGGGAGTATGCCATGAGTGCAACCGGTGACAAGTGGCCTACCAGCGGCCTACCAGCTGTGCGATAGACCTTTCGGACCATTGACCTCTGGAATATGCTGGTTTCTAAGGTATGCAGTTTGGGGGGCACGAGACCCACGGACAATGGTATGGCAAGTGCCCACACTGGCATACCCAGGGTGTCGGTAGCGCTGCAAACTCGGGTTCCCGAATTCAATCTTCTGGCTAACGAACTCAGGTTCGGAAGCGTGGGTCGTGTCACACCTTACTTCTTATGCATGAACAAAAGCAAACAAAACTGTCAAGGGTGTCAAAGGGTTGTCACAACCAGGGAATGCATGATTTCTTGATTTGGGGTGCCATGGAATTACATCCGCATGATGCACATGATGGTTTAATTCCACTATCGTCGAACCTGTGATGGGATCTAGTCCAACCGCAAAAGCACCAGTCGCTCTGCTGAGGTGATCGATCTCAATCTGTGAGTCAAAAACCAAATCTTTACGTCATTTAGATTTAAAAGCATTAACAATGTCATTTCATATTCAATCCATTCTTGGCGCCGGGATTATATTCAAATCAACCATTCCTTGTAACGCCGCTGACCGCACATCCGCTTGCAGCGGTCCGCACCCGCTTGCAGCGGAAGAGCTCCAGGTTGACCCGGTGCTGCTGTGGACCTGGCATGTGGCGCCCAGGTAAGAGAGCACCGACGTGGATTGGACTATCGACGTCTTTCATGAATTTGGATTTCTTTCAGCGTGCAAAAAATGCTTTTTTGTTACGTTACAAGTTATGGACGGACACTTTCGTCTTATGATTCACATTCCCATCCAACATGTACCCTTCTTTCTGACCCAATGGGATGGGTTATTTTGGGTGTGTTCCCCCGGCGGTGTCCCGGAGTCCCGTCGCCGAAACCGCGGAAACCGCCCCACGTCGAGGCGGAGGTGGTCCGACTCCGTTGCGAGTCCTGGCGAGTTGCGTATGGGCCACTTCTTGGGCCACTGCGGTAGGTTTGAGAGAACGGTCGCCCAATCCAAAATAGTATGGAACTGGCCGAAGCACATGGACCAATGGATGTGTGTTGCATGCTTATATAGAGTATGTGTTGTTTAGGGTAATTAGATGTAATTAGTCCCTCCGAACGGATTTCTGCCTGGACCTTCTGCAAACTGAGATCTGAGATGCAGGTGGTCTTTGACGTACCCAAGTCGCCCACCAAAACGACAAAGACTAAAAACATCAAACAAGCACATCCAATTTATTTGCGTGCCGACATGTCTCTTTCAATTAAACTATACACAAACATCTCCAAAGGGTATTGCTCAGATTGTATTGAAGGCAAAGAATATCAAGAATCACCTCACTTGTGAAATCATGCGGTTTCCTCCTCCAGAATTCTCACCTTTGCTCAGTGCAAGGAAACTCGGAACACTCTTGTCCACAACCAAATGAAAGATTCCACATCCTCCCATTTCTGATGATGCAACTCCCACATCCTGATTCCACTTCACATTTACCATTTACCCCAAGTTAAGAAGAAATCTTGATGTTTTTGGAAGACTGTTCCCATGCCATGGCGAGCCAATTCGCTGTGCCCTCGAAAAGACATAGACAGGCATGCACCAAAGGGCTTTGAGCCACACTTCCAATTTAGGAGCCCCCACTGGCCCCCACCTACAGTTCTCTTTTCCCATCAAAACAACCAAAAAGGAACAACCAGCCACTTCGATGCCACCGCTGTGGCATTATCCGCATGCTTTGGGGTGAAAAAAACGTCACTGGCCGATGGGTGCACTTTCCTTTGGCCGATGCGTGTGACACAGATGTTCTCCTGCAAGTCCTTGACCAGTCCGCTCAAGTTCTCCACTTGAAGATCACCTGCCCGGACCTGTCACGAAGCAGGAAAGGCGACGGACATATGACACCATCCGGCGGCGGAAAGGACATGACCGGTGGATCTGTCAAATTGTTGCTCTGCGACGGAAGACTTTGAGAACACGGTCACGAGCTCCGTCGGATCGCACTCAAATTAAAGAGCACTATCAAGTGGTAGACCAGAACTGGGCCAGGTTTCGTTCAGGCTGAAAGATTGAAGGCAGGTGCTGGAATTTGGCTGAAAAGCATAGACCCGGCCAAACAGAGTGTGTGATCGTGCTTCTTTTGCACAATTTTGGATTTTTGAGCCATACAGTAGCACACCATACCCGACGCAGACTACTTCTTGCAAGCAAGAAACCACGAACGCGTAAAATGCAGGGAGTACATAAATAACTGCAACGGGGGTCGCAAATGCGTTTCTGCAAATGAATGTTGCTCCGGGGGATCGCCGATAGACATACAAGGACGCACCCCCGATCATTGTCATTCTCCGGCTCATCATGAGCCGTTTTTTGGCAAGCAACGATTCTGCAGGGATTCCAGGAACTTGACCAAAAACATGATCGCTATTAGCTTGGAGGCCATCGCTGTTAGGTTGGAGGCCATCGCTAGTAGGTTCTCTTCGTCGAGCGCCCATTCTCTGGCCTGGTTCTGTAGCTCCACATTCTGCCGACGCAGTTGCGCGACTTCTTGGCGGAGATACCTGCAAGTTTGCTACAGTTGGTGTCATAGGTATTGGATTTAGTAAAGAAATGCAAATGCTCTTTGAACACAAGAGTCCTCAAACCTGGCGTGCTACTATGTGCCATGATGCCACTGCAGTACCAGGAGTTGTAGTGTGTGTGTGTGTGCCATAGATTTGGTACTTTCAGTGACCATCAAGGAATTCACATGCAGCCTCTTTGTTTAAATAGTTGGCAAGGGGTGAGTTGCCACAAAGCACAGGTCCACACAAGCAGGGGAATGCAATGATGAATCCTAGGTGTCCAAGCTACACACCGACCAGAAACTGCTCAGGTGGTGGTGTGTGCGAGAAAGGCAGTGTCTTTGCTAATTTCTGCTGTTTGAAGGATGTATAAACACAGCAAGCCTATTAATAACTCGATGAATATCTATTTATTATGGGAGTCTGCCCGTAACGCGGTCAGTCTGAGACTGTGCCGACTCTCGTTTCTTCTGTGAGCCCCCTCAGCTTTTCTCTGCTGGTTGAAAGGAACATCACATTCACCATCACCCACATTATCCCACATTCACCATCTTTCAGTGATCCGTGAGTTTCGATTTCTCCTGGTGCATACTGCAATCCACAGGGATGATGAGTTCACGCCAAGGAACAAAATCTGCACCCGCTCAGCAGCTTCACGCTTCTGCGGCTTTCGTGCCACCTGAGAAACGGGTCGGACAAGTTTTGGTTGGAAACTGACGTGAACTAGGAAGACATCGGAGACACCCAAAAGAGTGGCAGGAAAAGGGAAAATTGTGAAACATCCAGGAAAACGCAGTGGTTGGAGGGTCTCCCTACTCCCTGCTCCAAAGATTTTGAAAACATAAGTCCCACTTCTGACATTGACATCTGGCGTCGCTGCGTCCCGATCTAAACTGTTGCGACATCTCTCACGAATGGTTGAACGTAGATGAAACCAAACTCACCTACCCTTTAAGAGTACTTTCCCCGAAAAGAACATCAACATACCTACTACACAAGAACTTTGGCAAGCAATCCGCTCTCCTCCAGGATGCTCTGAGCACTGGACGTTTGATGACCTCGGGTGCTGGGGCAAAAGGGGCAGGTGGTAAAAATAGACTCAGAACACAAATGGAGACGATGGCGGAATGTAAGGACCGAAGCATAGATTGGCGAGTGTGTGCCTTGGGTTTGCCCGCTATTTATCGCACCGCTGCCGGCAAAGCCACTGCAGGTCTTTCCTATTTGGCGGTCTCAATGATCAATCGAGCAAAACTGCTTGAATCATGAGTTATGAGTATGCAGGTGGGAATGGACAAGCCCATCGAGCATTGCAAGGTCCTGCTTGAGAAATAGAATAGTGTCTTGAGGCGATGATTTGTGATGAAGTAGGTTGTTCCCTCGATTTTCCAACACTTGCCAAGGCGCTACAACAACATACAGTATGTTTCAAGGAAATTGCATTGAAAATGAGAGCTACATATATAATATTGACAAATTAACAAAAACATAGTTCACCTGCGTTCGAAAACATGTTCCCTCACGTTGCAAGTGAAAACCATTGTTCTGTCTTTTCCACTCCTCCGACCTGGATGCTACCACTGCTGGGTCCGGGAACTGCATCGGTGGCGCTGGTGTTGGTCGGACCTGATGGCTGAAGGGACCACCTTCTCGCTGGTTGTCGTGGTTTTTGAGTCGTTGCTGTGGCTTCCCTGTTGCAAGAATCCATTTTGATGGTTCTGCGTGTATTTTGCTTGGAGTGAAAAGCAGGATTGTCGGAGGCTGGTTGTTCTTCATGGACGAATAGGAAAGGACATGGGTGCCATTTCTGATACAGGTTGGAGGCAATTGCTATTAGGTTGGAGGCCATTGCTATATATTAGGATGGAGGCCATATGAGGCCATCGCTATTACAGTCGGTTGGAGCCCATCGCTATTAGGTTGAAGGCCATCGCTATTCATCGCATTGGCCCAAGATGGCATCCGAGGGAAACGTCGCATACAGCCTCCGGCCTCCGCACCCCGGCCGTTCAAGCCATCTCCACCTGCATGGTCGGCAGAACCGGTGGTGTCAGTTAACCTCTGAATGCACAAGTGGCATCGAGAATGGTGAGGCTGGTTTGGGTGCAAAGAGATGCTTAAGGTCCGTGATCCAAAACAAAAAGTACTGACGCCTGGTTGTGTCTGAGGAAGTAAAGAACTGCATAGAAGCGCAACCAATGCGTGGATGCATCAGCGGCACGGAACGCTTGGATTAGCTTGAGGAACCCGAAACAGAAAGGAGATTCACCCATAGGGGCCTAGGGAAAGTGTAAAATCACACTAAGCAGTAAGCAAAACCAGCAAAATGAGTACTTACCTTAAAGGCTCCGAAAGCCCGAAGAGCAACAGATGGCCACAGGAGTCAATATACCTATAGTATCTATAGTATATAATTAATCAAGAACTATGACAATATCCGGGTGCTCAATCATTGTTCTATATTATTCTCAGTAAGCCTGATGTGGTGATTTTAACCGATCAAAGCCTTAGCCTTGCAAATTCCTCTGTGAGCTTGGGTCTGTCTATGGCTGCTGCTCAGTTCCAGTATTACATTCCTGAACCAGGAACCAGCCCAGAAATACAACGACGACTGTTATTAAAAGTACGATGACAACGGCCCAGTCTTTGACTTCCTTTGGACTGAACAGGACAACTAACTACCCCGAACTGCAGTTGGCCTCTGAACAATGACCATACAAAACCCTGTGATTGTCCTTATGTCCTCCATACACTGGCCAGAAGAAAGTTGCGCTTCTTGATGTTGAAACTCATGACAACCCTATCCCCCTAGAATCCTACACCATGAGACAAGGGAAGGTGTGGGCGGTCATTTGTCACCCCGGAAAGCCTTTTATTATTATAAATTTAAAAGAGTGTGATAATTGACCGTCCCACACCTGCCAC